GTTCGATAATCAGATCAAACGACATATTTTGTATAAAGATTCCTGAACACTTTCCTGATGCACATGAATCATATCGAAATTCTAAAGTATCAACCTTAAATATCAGATTAGATTGGTTAGCAATCGATTTCCTTCAATAGGACCTCATTTTTAGAATCTGATCAAATTACATCAGTTTCATGTTATTCATTCTGATAACTACTAAGTGTCTTTGAGAAATACTTGGATATCCTAATGTGTTCCACATGTACCACATGACGATTTTATATGTTTTTAAATGAGTTTCGCCGAAACTATTGATTTACTGGTTTATAAACCATGACAACATGTTATATGTTTTCCGATTACGGGTTTTACCGAAAAATATGAATTATTCATGATTTATATGACATCATGGAATCTACGGGTTTTATGAACTATGTTTACTTGAAATATGTTATCGGGTTTCCTATTTTCATTGGAAAATATGATCTTGATAAATCACATACTGAATATTTTTATGAGACAATACCCGATGTTCTGAATACAGTTTATTTTGATATCTGATTTACCACATATTTTGATATGGTTTCTGGTTACGGTATTTTTGTACATGATTTCTAAATATGGATTAATTATCATTATAGTTCCCCAGGTCCCTTTGCTGTGTGCAAGAATAAGCCTTACAGTTCCCCAGGTCCCTTTGCTGTGTGCAAGGGTAAACCTTACAGTTCCCTAGGACCCTTTGATGTATCCAAGGGTAAGCCTTACAGTTTCCCCAGGTCCCTTTGCTGTGTGCAAGGGTAAGCCTTACAGTTTTCCCCCAGGTTCCTTTGCTGTGTGCAAGGGTAAGCCTTACAGTTTCCCAGGTTCCTTTGCTGTGTGCAAGGGTAAGCCTTACAGTTTCCCCAGGCTCTTTTTCTATGTGCAAGTATAAGACCTTATCGTTTTTGCATGCTCCTCTACTTTGTGCACAGGGTAAATATGCATCTTTTCACTGGTTTTACGGGAACACACTAGATATCATATTCTAATCTCCTGAACCTAGACATCCGAAATATTTCCATCTAAAATGAATAATATATGTTACTACCTGCGATATCAATGGACCTCAGCTCTGCCTAAAAATCTGTAGATATCTGAACCAATAAGAAAACATATGTTTATCTGTATCTGCATGTTCTTCAGCATCATCTGGTAGTTCTGTATTACTGAGCTTTCCAAAGCTCACTCTATTACTCAACATTGCAGGTTAAAGGAATTGTACCAGTGCAACTATTGACATCAGTAAGGGAGTTCTTCCGGCATTGTTTGCAGAGTACGGTACATGTTATTAGGGGGCATGTAATTGTATTTTGTTTTATATGTGAGTCTGAAAATCTGTTTTAATTTTGCATACCGATTAATGATTTTATAATTTACATGTTCTGATAAAAAATTATAAATTTTTCGCTATTTTTACAGTGGGTCATTCTGGTGGCCCTAATGTGACTTCCCGGATCGGATCGGGTTACATCGATCTGGGGGGTTACATATTTATAATTTAGAGTTTATGAAATTTGAGTTGAGTCAAATAGAATATATTTGTGTAGAGTTTTTATTCAAAGTATTGATGAGACTATAAAAGAATTGACGGGAATAAAGAATTTATAAAATGTTGCAGTTGGAGGATCAAATTGAATAAAACAATTTAAAAAGGGGAAATGTGTTGTCAAAAATGAAGAACCGAAGTTGCATAGGAATTCTGAAGTGGTTAAAGAGTAAGTGATTCAAATTTTGATAACAAATAGGCTTAAAATGAAAGAAGAATTAAAGAAACAAGAGAATCTTATGTCAAATCACAAAATAATCAAACTACATAATTAAAGATCAAAACTATATCATTTTAGTTTTCTTTTTTTTTATTATTTAAAATTTACAAATTCAAACTCAATTCAAAATTCAAACAAAAAATTTAAGTTGATTCGAATAACTCGATTAGTTCAATTCAAATAACTCAAAATTTGAAAAGATTGATCGGTGTAACTATCCAAATTTATAATCAATGTTCATATGTTGACCTGAAATGATGATCTTGGATCAATTGAGTTTGATGAGTCAAGACTGAACTTAATTAAATGAGAATTGAATTTGAATAATGTTAACAAGATGATTTTGAGCTAAAGAAAAAAGTTAAAGGGCTTTTGGGGCAATTTTCTCATTTGAGATAAACAAGGATGCACCAAAATTTATTTGGACGTGGGTTTTTGGGAGGCAAATGTGTTTGTCTCCCCTTTAGCTTTTCTCGTTCTCTTTCCTTTCTTTTTCTCGTTTTCCCCCTTCTTCTCGTTTTCCCCCTTCTTCTCCTCCATCTCAAAGCTTGAAGGTTTGTGCTTGAAACTAGGGATTGATCGAGGGAAGCGGGTGACGGTACACGTCTCCTAAAAGTTTACCATTAACATATATTTTAGATTTGTTTATGTATTTTTTTTAATGAAAATCTAGTTTCTCCTCTTAAAATTTTATAAGTTTGTTCTCTTCTAGAAAATCACCCATTTAATATAAAATTTTACATCTATTCCTACTTTGAGCGTCATATTTTATTGAAGATTTCTTATCTTCCAAACTCTGAAAAGGTAAGTTTCATCTTCATTTCCACGTTCATTTTTTTTAAAAAAAAGTTTTAAAATACCTTAAATAATAAGATTTAAATGTGGAGGAGAATGAGATCTTTTAAAAATTTACAAGAGTAAAGGATCAATAATAACATTTCCAATTTAGAGTATAGATTTTTTATTAAAGTTTCAAAATTCTTGATTTGGAATGATAGAAAATAACTCGAAACGATGTTTAATATTAATTAATCTATAAATTTTATTTTAAAATATTTGATTTTAAATTTTTATTAAGTTAACGGAGCTTTGGTTTTGTACTAATTTTTTTTAAAAATTTTACTTATACGATTTTATTTTTCTTTTCAAAATGATTATGAAATTTAGATTCGGATTAAAGTGGAAAAATGAATTGTTAAATATGTAGGCTACTTCGGTGACCCAAGTACATATTTGAATCCACCGATTATTCTAGATCGAGTTCAATGTATTATAATTTTCTTCAAGTCGAATGAGTTTTACTAACTCTAATTAATGTACTAAAATTTTATAAATAAAAAATATTTTACACATTAAATTTTTAGGGAAACATTATCAATTTTCTATCCGAGAACTTGATTTTTTTTACAAATAATCAAGCTGTCTAAAAGTACTAAATGAAAAACAACACTGCCTTTCCTCATCAAATGGTCCAAGTTACTTTACTGCTATACAAAATAATTAATGCCTGAAAACACTTTATAAAGGCCCTATTTTTTACATAAAAAAATCATGGATTTACATGTATAAATCTTTGTATTTATGGACGGACATAAGATTTCACGTTAGAAGATAAATTTTAAAAAATTTTAAAAAATAAATTATCAAAAAAATTAAAATAAGAAATTTTTTAAATTTCAAAAAGAAGACTGTTTCTACCCGTTTCTCTATCCATCCTACTCATGTTATTCTGTTGTGAAAGACATAAATAGTTTGAAACATGTCCGGTTAAAATTGACCCAATCCATGCTCTTTAATTTAGGCATTTTGATTATTCTGAATCGATTTTGATTACACTAAAAGGTTTCAATCAATCTACTATTGGTTCATCAAATATATAGCCCAACCAATTATTATATATCCTGGAAAATATTATCATCGATTGGTAAAATTATGTCAAAATCCTGTAATTTTATCTATTAAGTGTTGGATACAATAATAATATTTATTGTATTTTTATAAAGATAATTTTATTTCAAAAATTATTATGAATCATATTGATTTTGCATTGAAACCGTTATTTAAACCACCGGTTTGTCCGTACCACTAGTGGTGGATGCAAACTTGTTTTAGAGTGAGTAATTGTCTGCCCCGAAATTTAATTTTTTTTTTATTAATTATTTATTTTATTGATAGTGTCTGTAAAAAAATATTTATGTTCATTCCATATGAAAAGTTCATAGGAGTATTAATATATATATATATATCTACCCTCAAAAAAAATTTATAAATCGGTCATGATGTACCACAACGTAGTGACTTGTATAAAAAGCTAGTGCAAAATGTAAATGAGGTTTTACTGAATGATTCCATGTTTTTGGAAATATGAATCATGATTCAGTTGTTTGCGACGTGGGGGAGTGTCTGAGTTTCATGTTTGGACTGGTTGGTTTATGAAATCTACCAGTCATCCAAATATCAGCTTCTGATTCGTTTACTGTTTTGCTGATTGACCGAAACAAACAGTCAGCACGTTCAATGTTCGCAATTTACCATTGGTTACTATTATACCCTACCATATGTTTTCAAATTTTATATGGATGAGGTTGGTTCCGACATTCAAGGCTCCAGCAAGATCTTATTCTATCCCTGTTTTACATTGCAAGTAGAGGTGAAAATGGATCATTTGAATTGAGTTCAGGTTAGTTACTTTTGGATTTTGATTATATTCAGTATAGTTCGATTCGAATTGGTTTATTTCCGATATTTGCGATTTCATTTATATTTTTCTTCTTTCCGTCTTCCGTAATTAAAAAAGTAGTGATTTTTCTAGCTGCTTACCCACTATAATAAAATAAATTCTTTCGAGTGAATGTATTATCCTTAGAGGTTTCAGATTTGAGCAGTTAGTATACATGGATTATTATCAACGACTAAGAAAATTATGAATATATATTATTTTAAATCATTCCAAATTATTAAAAAAACTTCGAAGTAAAAAAAAGACGTTCATGAATTCAGCTTCTTAGAAATATCTATTCTATCTCTACACCGATTGAAAGTACTATAATGTACTTAACAGCATGTTTGGTTTAGCTGAAAGTAATGTCTCATTTATTACACAAGTAGCACACGAGATTCAAATAACAAAGCAATTGGTATACTTATACATAACAGTCACGTGACATTTTCTAACACAAGTATCTCTTCCTCCCATTTTGATGTCTATTCTTTATTCTAACACAATGGTATAAACTTTGTATAGCATTATACCTTTTACTAAAAAACAAGAGGATCATTGTTACTTCGATACACATCATTGATCATGTATTACCTTTCAGGTGTATTTTTTAGCTCTAAATGTCAATTTCGGGTTCCGGATGTCATCCTGACTCTGAATTAACTGAATCTCTAAGCTGCCCGATTTCGAATCAAATCCCACACTTGTATAATCATTCACTGTCCTCACCAAAAGTGCCTACATGAAAATAGAAACTGAATGAAATAAGCAGGATTTTATTTTTCTATTATAGCACTTTTGCAATTCTTAGCCTATTAGGGTGCGTTTGGTTCACGGAATGTAAGATTACCAGTGAGAATAAAAGATTACCAGGGAATAGGATTACTGGGAATGTTGTATTTTGTGTTTGGTTAGTTTAGCAGGAATGTAAGATTATCGTGTTTGGTTAAAAGAATAAAAGATTATTGGAATGTATATTTGACCAAATTATCCTTATTATATATTTGTATAATATTACAAATTGTAAAATATTTATATATTTTCTTTAAAAAATTAAATTCATAATATTTATATAATTTTTTTACAAAATTAAAAAAAAAGGTTTAATTAAAGGGTAATATTTTTTTAACCCCTGAACTTCATATAAAATTTTAATTATAGATTTTTTTTGTAAATCTAAAATAATTTAAGGAAATTTGTAATTTAACCTTCGTAGAATTTTTATTTTCAATGACAGAAGAAAGATATTTTTGAAAAAATAAAAATTTAAGGGCATTTTAGTCCAAAACGTCAATAATGTTACAATATCTAAGGGAAGGGAGGTAATGACATTCCCGATAATATACCTCAAAAAATCTACTATTGATAATAAAACATTACTATGAATGAGATTCCCGGCCAACCAAACATGGGAATGTGAGATTCCCATTCCATGAGAATCCCACAATCCTTGAACCAAACACTCTCATAGTACATTTTGTTGATGATTTTGAATTACCCATTACTCAGAGAAATGGAGTTCGAAAATGTACTAATCATCCTATTAAGAGATATATAAACTATGAAAAATTGATGTCGTCATACAGAGCTTTCATTGCATCACTTGACAGTTTACGAATTCCAAAATCGATTCAAAAATCTTGAAGATTCCAGCATGAAAAAAAGGCAGTTCAAGAAGAAATTAAAGCCGTAGAAAGCAGTGGTACTTGGGCTCTCACAGAACTACCACAAAAGAAAAAAATTGAATGGAAGTGGATTTTCATAGTCAAGATGAAAACATTGAAAGGTTCAAAGCAAGACTGATGGCAAAAGGGTTCATGCAATCACATGAGATTATTATCAACTTGATGTCAAGAATGCCTTTTTCTGCGTACATGAAGATACCTTAAACCTTAGAAAGTCAATCAAATGGACAAAAAATGTTCAAAATTAAAGAAATCTCTCTATAATCTGAAATAGTCCTCTCGGCATGGTTGTCAGGTTTACCAAAACAATGGTTACATATAGATACAATCAGTGTCAAGTTGTTATAACTTGTTTGTGAAACCTTCTCAAAAGGTGAAGAGATCTTTCTTATTGTCTACATTGATGATATATAGTAACACAAGATGACACAGATGAAATAATCGAAGTTAAAAGGGTAGCTTGTTGTTGACTTTGAAATCAAAAAAATGGTGCTCTCGAGTACTTCCTAGGGATGGAGGTGGTTCGATTTAAAGCAGGGATTGTGACCTCTTAGAGGAAGTATGTGATAAACTTGTTAAACGTGACATGTATGCTTGGGTGCAAACTAACAGAACCATCAACGAATACTAATCTTAAATTAAAGAAAAATGAAGGGGGAGTTCCAGTCAACAAAGATCAATACCAAAGGTTATTCGACAAGTAAATCTATCTACATAGTAGACCAGATATTGCTTACTCAGTAAGCATTGCCAACCAACATATGAAGGATCCGTGTGAAGAACACTTAGAAACTGTCAACTGAATCCTAAGATACCTAAAAATGACTCTAGGACAGGGATAATTCTATAAAAAAAAAGGTGAAATGCATTATCAGTTGACATAGATACAGAGAAACGATATTTCAGTTAATTCTAAGAACATAAATATCACTTGCAGCCTTCTTTCAGTTAATTCTCCAGACTAAATCACTCTAGAAGTGCATTATGTTACTCGGAACATAGATACAAGAGAAAAGATTAAAACAATAAATACCTGCAAACTGGATACTGCAAGCTCCGCTGCCCTATCAAGGTTGTCGGGATATTTCTGAACAGAACAAAAGGGATATCTGAGAAATTAAATGTTTATACCAGGTAAAGGCAGGAGCAAAACAATAAAATTACATTACTCCACCCAAGTAGAAGTGCGTCATTAGATCTCCTGTTCCTAAAAATATGGTTGTTCATCAACATAGTTTCCAATGTGCATAGTCGGTAGACGAAGAATGAAGTACAAACAGTAAAAGATAACACATGTGCAATCATACATACAAAAAAAAATGCACCTTCACTAAAGCAAACGCTTTTTATGCACTTTGCACCTTTGGCAGTATAAGCATTCTAGCACCCAGAGTGCACCTAGAACCCTTAACAATACTGATCAATTCATCAAATACCCAAACTTGATATACTTTCCCTTACTTATGCAGCAATCTTTTCATAGTCAATAAGCAAAGCTATAAATATATTCAACAAAATCTAGCATTAAAAAGCTTTTCTATACTCATTTATCTGATACTGCATTAATAATCTGATACTGCATTAATAATTTGATACTGCATGGGTTCTTCAACAACAAACAAGTCTTGCTAGTTCAACGGGCAATGTATTATATTATATTTATAGAGTTGTGTTAAACATAATGCAGCTTCAATTACTAATCTGAAAACACCTCTAATTACAAATCCAAAATCTTCGGTTCATTTCAACCCCAAAAATCAAACTAAAGCTTGAATAAACACTACCCTTTTTTTTTATAGGAAATAGGCCTCATTAAAAAACCCCTTCGTATCCTACATGTTATAACAGTAACATGTAGGACATAGGAGGGAGGAAAAGAGCACCTCTGAATGTTATAAGTCTGAATCATAACGTACAACCAATTCCTAATATATACTGCTTTACATAAGATTTAAACACAAAACACTCTGCAGCAGTAAAACCAGAAACCTAACCTCCCGGTGAAAACCCTAACCGAAGAAAAGACACTACCTTGAATCTTTTGAATGCCAACTTCATCAAAACAGGAAAAAAAGAATACCTGTTTATGCTTTCCATGCACAACAAATAGCTCAACTTTGCCCTCAAGCAGCTCAAAGATGTGTGATTCAAGGCTTAAACCTAAAGCTCTTAAGCTCCACTCTTGTAAAGGTGCAGGATTAATAGGATGGGTAAGAAGTACCTTTATGTAGGCTGAAGACCATTGAGGGTCCATGTTATACAAAAGGAAAGCTAGTAGCACCTCCCTCCAAATGTTTTAGTTTGCATTGGAATTGCGCGTTAAGAAAAGCTAGTTGATTTACTTGAATGTTTTTACTTCCATCCGAAAGTGTTGGTTTGGTTTGTTTTTTAGCTTTAACAAACTTTGGGCATCAAAGTAAAAGTAAGTTCTTCCATCCTTATTCATAACTGGGTAAACAGTTTGTTAAAAGGAAAGGTATCAGAAAGCATTGATTCTAAGGCCAAGCTACAGTTCCAAATCTCAGCAATAGCTAGGCTTTCTAACAATCCCCAGACAAACAAAATCCATAAAAAGAACAGTGTCCAAAAACCGAGGTGAAAAGCATCAAGGCCCAATCATAAATAAAAAGGTTCATGTTTCAATATGCAACAAGTGATCGCAAGAAAATTTTGCGTACCGTAAAATATGCAGGAATTCTTGGTATTACAATCTTAAACTGCTGAGGAGCTTGTTCCTGTCAAATCAGTACCATAATAAACATAGAAAAGCTTGTCAACAAGCTTGACCAATTATCAATAAGATAAAGTTGGCAAATAAAAGGGTATATCAGTTTAACCACGAAAAAATGCTTAAAATGGGAAGAAGAAAAGAAAATATTATTCTTATTACCCATTTTGCAGATACTTGTGAATCGGTAATCATATTGGATTCAAACATTAGTACAAATACATATAAAATAAAAATTAAAGCGAGTGACAGAATCAGAAACAGAAAATCAACCAGTTAAATTTTTTTTGATAGGAATTGAAGGTATCGTTAAAAATCTCCTTCATGATTAAAGGAGCTTATAGAGAAGCTCCTTAATTAGCGGGAGGAGGAAAAGAGTGCCTTAAGATTTCATTAACCATAGAAAATACACGATACAACCAGGGAGCCACCCCCAATATAAACAAAACACCAAAAACAACCTCAAACAACCCTACCAAAACCAACCTAATCCAACAAAGCAACAACAACCTAAAAAACAGACTGGTCAAACTCAAAGCCTAAACGTGGCCCGATAAACGCCCAAACAAAACAAAACCCATAATAAAGCCAAGGGTAACAGCTGACTAAAACCATAGAAGCCAACTTCTAACTCAAAAGCCACTTAGCTTTCTCATGATAAGAATACAAAAAAAAAAAACACACACACACACATAGCCGCCTTTCCACCACATTAACTCGTCTTGTCGGCTAAAACCATCCGACTTCCAGCTCCAAACAATATGCATGATGCAGATCACCTGAAACTTCTACTCCTTCCCCCGCCATAGTCTTCCGAAATCATATACACTACTGAGCCATTAGACTCACAACCCAATTCTTTCCCAAATGCAAGGAATCGATCGCATCCTTCTGTTGAGACTGCCCCATACCGGAAAGTCAGAATATATTTGAATCTGCCATAAAAAACAGACTCTTCCTCCCATTGCACCTTACTCTGATGTCTCTTGCTTCGGTAACCCCTATACTTTCTTTTGGGAGCTGTAAAATTCTCTTGAAAAAATTGGTCAGATCTATATTTGTTGCCAAAACCCTCCTTAGGTCTCATGAACTGCCTTGCGTTACCCTTTGGATTTATGTATGCGCAGTTGTAAGAAAAGCCATCTTGAATTCCATCCTCCACCACCCTTGACTCAACCCGACCATCCAACTTGGGGAAATCATTATAATAATCCTTCGAGCCCACAAAAGCACATGCAGGCTCACTACTTTTCCTGTAGGCATCTTCTTTCTCCCTCTCCACGTGAACCAATAAATCCTCTTTATCCTTTAGGCTCACATCTTCCAATTCCTTGACACTAAGTGACCATCCAGGATGGGAAAATTAATTAAACAATCCTTACTCCCCTCATAACCATGTGCAGGCAAGCAACTATCCTTAAAGACATCCACTGTTTCTCTCTCCGCGTGCACCAGCAATGTCTCGTGTTCCCCGACTTCCTCAAGTTGCGAAAGAACCATCCCCTGACCCACAACGACACTCCTCGGACCCATCATCAATTCCTCGCCTATGTTCCTATCCTCCATACCCTCACCCGACAAGAAGCTGCCTCTAGCAGTAGTCCCCAAACAGCAGAAAATTTTTCTTCTTTCTCATAACACTTCTCGGCCGACTGCACCTCCGAAGAGTGCACGGATCTTCCTGCTTCTTCAGCACCCACCTCCAGCTCGGGAAACTTAACTGGTGAGACACCAACGAACTCCCCCACCTTGGATAACGGGGATGCGACTGCCTCTTCCAACGAAGACGACTCTACCCACTTAATAAAAATTCTGCACCATTCTACCAAGCTGTTTTTGAGAGTTGAAAGCTTACTCTTGTCAACAGAACCAACAAAGGGAGCCTCCGTATGACTAACATCCTTCACCACACTCTTGCCCTCGACTGGATATGGACTAGAGAACTTCTTCCTCCGGAAAACATCACGAGGATGATATCTCGCCATAAAAACTCTAACTTTGTTACCTTGAATCCAAGAACTATCAACACAGTTGATAGCTTTCCTCGTGTCCTCCAGTCTGGTGAAACGAACAAAACCAAACCTACTTCCTCCCTTGCTTCTTTTATTAGGGATGAAAGAATCAACCACCTCGCCATATTTATCAAAAAATAACCAAAGACCTTGGTAATGGAAACTCTTAGGAATGTTGAAAATGATTACTATAACACAATTTTTCTTAACAGGAACTCTCACCTTACTCGCCATCAAGAGAAATGAAAAGGAATAAAACAGAAAAACTTATCTAAAACACCTGATTTTTAGAGAGGAGGAGCTTCTCTCACTAACACCTAACAATTACCAACCAGTTAAATTTTAATTTCATAATTTCATCTAGTACAAAGAGAATAAAAATAAAAGCAAAATCATTTTCATTTAGTACAACAGTTTATTCCCCCCCCCCTGTCCCTCCTCAAAAGGAGAGAGTACATTACTTTTTGCACAGGCATCATGTACCTGTGGAGTTAAATCAATTCTGCTTTCTAAGTCGTACAAATTTATGAATGAGGTACTTTATACCTTACTCTCCAACTTCACTCATTTAAGTATAATAATAGCTAGAGGGCGGTCCACCAAAACCAATGTGATTTAGATGAAAAGAAATGATCTTTTACATGTCAGTCGATATTGGAAATTTTTTATCTACCTCTGGGAAAGTGGACATCCTCTGCAACATACAAGTATGGTGAGGCAGATATTCAGGTTAAACTGGAGGTCTTTCCTGCTTGGTATAAAGTATGCATGTGAAATTTTGAATACCTACTTCAGTCATCGTAACTAACGGTCTTATGCTGATATCACTTATCCTTTTAGCACAATGAATCCACAATTATCACCTTTATAGCAACATATATGGTATGAGAAGGATGCTAACCCTAAAACCCATTGTATGCTTCCTTATTTCATGATAAAATATCAGAAACATATACCTTTCTACTTTTAGAGTTTTACACCATCATCAACAGGACAAAATATTCAGTCCCTCCTTTGAATCTTCAACTCAATTGGGAAGACACCCCAACATCAAGAATTCAAGATGCGGCCATTTAAGCGCAAAAATTTATCTATAGCAAAATATAACACAAACAAGAAGCAGAAATTCCATGTACATAATGTATGCCCGTGAGTTCATGAAGATTGTCTTCTTATATTAAAAAAAACAATGCATCAGATTTTAAATGAGCCAGTAACTTAAAACTAGAGTCAAGCGGCTCACATTCAGCAGACCCCCTTATCTTTCGATGACTGCCAATGAGAGAAGATTGCCTTCTATTTGATGCTAGTAAATCACACCTGAGATTACAAGATTCACAGAAAGCGTATAAAGGATAGAGCTAAGTTCTAATTTTAAATACAGGATCCAAACTGAGATGAATCATATAGTTCTCTCTTCATGTACAGGAAGATGATGATGAATTTTCTTCTAACCTCAAAAGAAAAATTGGACCGGAAGAGGCCACATAAAAAGTAGATTTTCTTTAAGTAAATTTCCACCAACCAAACATGAGCCACATAACCCATTCTATCTTCTTAGAATACCATTCGAAAAAGTTATTTGAGAACAACAGAATAATATCTCTTCTTAGAATACAAGCATCTGCGTGTAGGGTGAGCAAAACTCGATTCAAAAAACCGATTTTTTCGACTCGAATTGATTTCGAGTTGTAATTTCATAAACTCAACTTGACTTGAAAACGTTTTAAGTTCAAATGGAGTTATAAAATACAACTCGAATAACTTGAATAGTAACTCGAAATTTTTAGTAATTAGTGGATTGATTTTCAGTTTTAGTCGAGTCCCTCGACTCTGTATGATAATATGTATATCACATATGAAAAAATATGAAGAAATATATATGTAGTATATAGTTATAAAAAACCATTTAAATTAAAATCAAATAATATCATAAATATTTACAATTAAATTTAAACAGAAACTTGAAAACTCAACTCGAATTTTATAAACTGACTAAAAAAAATTCAAGTCAAGTTCGAGTTATAAAACAAGACTCGTCAACTCGAATTTTTTTACTCGACTCGATCGAACACTCATTCCCTATCTGCATGTTTGTGTCTCTACATACACCGATACACGCACATTTTAGGAACAAGACAAAATCATTTCTTATTTTGAATTCAAACTTAAGGATATGAGACTTAAAGCAGAGTTACATCCTATCAAAACATTATTTCTAGTTTTAATCTGTCGTAATCATGTACGTGTTGCCAGAATATTTTGGAGTAAGGTAAATCCCAATAAAATCTGCCCCAGTTTAAATTACATTGTGGAAAGCCGCCGAGACTAGAAAAGCTGTCAAGATAAGGAGTTTTGTTATTTTATGTTCTAATTATAATCTACTTGTACTTAATGATTAGTGTTTATATTCTTAGAAGATAAAATGAGTATTTTTAGGAGATAAAGGTTAGGAAAAAGATACCTAGTAGTACTTTACATCTGTAATTCTCAGCCTATTAAAACAGGCTGAATTTACTTTTTCAGAAAGCAATTTTCGAACAGAACCTATGTTCTTCCTTCTCCTCAGTTCTCACCGTTCTCTTCCTTATAATATTTACATACATCTCTTTCATAAGGTTAAAACGATGGAAAGAAAAAAAAAGTACTCAACCTTACACTAGATGCAGAGTGACAAGGGGAAAAGATTAAAAGACAATAGGTTTTCATGCAGGAAGTTCTAAGCCTCAACAAAGCACTAAGCAGGAGGGGAAAACCTTTGAAGGCCCAGCAGCATGAAGAATGTTGCATGCTTCCCGACCATCTGTTTCAGAACCAATCCTGCAGCAATAATATATTCTAAGAAACAGTAAAAGAAAGCTTTACTATCATGAAATATCGCAACCGGGAAGCGTGGAAGTGAGAGAAGAGGAAGAGAAAAGTAAAATTATATCTCACAAAACTGAAGTAAAGACAACTCTTTTATTATTGTACTTTACATTTTAAAATAATCGGTTTAATTATAAATTTAGTCCTTCAATTTTATAATAACTAAAAAATCATTAAAAAATATATAATTGTTTAAACTATCGACAAATTATTAAAAAAATGATCAGCGAACCAAAAATAAAACATCATCACGAATTATGATCGCAAAATCCGTTTTAAAGTGGTCTACCCCAATGAACCGTAAACGGTAAAATTAAAGAATTACTATCTCATACCCATTCTGCGAACCAAAGCGAATCACGAATTAGGTAACATTGGTATGTAACAGTCTCCCACTCCCTCAATCGTATCAATTTTGTCTTTTGCGCCATTCTAGAAGATAAACCAAGCAATTCTTCTTGAAATCATACTGATGCTCGTAAACAAAAGATCATTGAAAATCCCAGTTCTTTTAAAGGCTCGAGAATTCAGATTTTGGAAATTGTTTTTGTTCAATTTTAATATGTCAACAGTTTGCCTTCCAAAAGGTTCCCTAGACAACAAATACTACAAGGAACAAAATTATTGTTTACAGAAAATGCAATTTTACAACAAAGCAAATGAGAGTCAACTATTTTTATTATATAGTCTGAAAATACCTCAATTTAGTCAACAGTTCTGCTTCGAATTGGTTAGGAGTCATCATTGAAGCCACCGGGACAACCTAACCACAAGGAATGTTACTAATAACAAGTTATCAACTAATAATTTTAAACAGCTAATTGTGCATCAAGATAATTATGTATATATTTCTTCCAATACTATTGTTGTTCATCAATTTAAGAATTTCCAGATTTCGGAGATAGTTGAAGGATATCATTTTACTTTTATTACTTAGTATCATTTCCTGATTTCTCTCTACCTAATTTCTAATAATTTTCAGATTCCAAGCAAGATAGTTTATTGCAATAAATTTGGGACTTTGTGGATGAGGAAGGGAGAGTTTTAGGTGATTCTGGTTTTTTGTAATGGTGTCTATCCCCGTATGAGGGTATTCCGTGTTTTCATATGTAATAGGTGTTTTATTTAATGTAATATGAGGTACTCTTTTCTTCCTTCCAATGTTCGTTACATACTTGTTAGTATGTGGACGAATACAAATGGAATTTTTAATGAGACCTCCAACTTTTATCAAAAAAAAAAAGTTTATTGCAATAAATAGCCTAGAATTCCTTGTGAAAAATAACAGAAAAACTCTTCATGTTCTCTTTTATAAAGATTATTCATGGTATCAAGAGCCCTTTCTTATCTTGATTTTATTTCGGCTAAATAGTCATGGCAGATGTGAGCTAGAGGGTTCTTTGAACCTTCTACATCAAACTGTTCCATAGTTCGTGAAGGTAATTGTTTTCCTCTGATTTGTTTGGAAATTCAGATTTATTGGCAAGTGGATTGTGGATTCAGGAGCTTTGAATCTTATCATGAAAGCTTGCACCCGTTGCCAAGTTGAACACAATTTGAGTAATGTTGTCACTAGCTAAAAAGACTAGCCTTTGCACCAACTAGACATGCCTTTTCGAAAGAAGATCTTCAAGAAGACATTTACATGGAAATACCTCCAGGTCTAGAAAACTCCTCAAAGCTATCAAGTGTCAAGCTGAAGAAGTCAGTGCATAGGCTTGGTTTGACATGTCTGCCAAAACAATAGTCACAAACGGATACAATCAATGCCAGGTTGATCATACGTTATTTGTGAAATTATCATCAAAAGGTAAAATTGCTAATTCTAACTAGAGATGACTCAAAGGAAATTATCAACTCAAAAGATTACTTGCTAATAAGTTTGAAATTAAAGATCTTGGCGCCTCATACTTACTAGGCAGGCACGGAGGGAGGCTGCTTGATCTAAGGCAGGGATTGTTATATCCCAAAGAAATTACTCTTAGTTAAAGACTAGCATGATTGGGTGTAAACCTGCAGAGACGCCTATGGACCCCAACCTAAAGTTAAGGGAAAATGAAGAGTGGTGCCCATGGATAAATGGCAGTATTAAGACTAGTGGGAATTGACACACGGCCAGACCCTGCATTTTCAATGAGTGTTGTTAGCTAGCACATGAATGATCTTCATGAAGAACATTTAGAGGCAATGAATCTGATACTTAGATACTTTAAGATGACACCAAACCACGGTCTACTCGTCAAAAGGAGTAAAATCCATGAAATAGAGGTATACACCGAGACAAGTTGGATTGGAGAATTGACTGAAAGAATATCTACAAGTGGTTATTGTTCCTTCGTTTGGGATAATCTTTTTACATGCAAAAGCAAAAAAAAACAGTTCGTAGTGTCAAGTAGTGCAGAGTTGGTATATCGTGCTCTTGCTTTGGGCATTTGCAAAGGAATATGGATTCAAAGATTACTAAGTGGAAAGTTAATTTTAAGGACAAGAAAAAAATGTATAGTGACAGTCAATCCACCATAAGCGTTGCTAAAAATTTGGTACACCACAACAGAACCAAGCATGTGGAAATTGACAAACATTTCATTTCAGTGAAGGTTAACAATGGAATAGTACAATTGAGCTACATCCCTACCAGACTGCAGCTTGCGGACATTCTCACTAAAGCACTTCCAAATCAGCTTCAATGAATTCAACTCCAAGTTGGGATTGTATATCATATATACCCCAACTTGAGGGGAGTGTAGAAAATCTCAAATCAGTTTCCTACTCATAGTTGGAAACTAGTAGATTAGGATTTATTTAGTTTCCTAAGAAATAGGATCAATCACTAGCTGATTAGTTTGTTTTGAGTCCTAACCGTGTGCGATTATCTCATTTATTTCATTATATTAGGCTGTATTTTCTTGATTCAATAAGAGAATTATTCCTTCACCAAAACTCTCAGTTACTAACGCTTGCGATGACATGATTTGAAGTGCTTGACTGAGGCTATAGAAATATATGGGGTAATTTGCTTGATCCATGTTCCAAGCAAACAACAGATAGCAGATGTCGTTACAAAAGGGCTGCCTAGATCAAGTTATGAAGTGCTAGTGGACAAGCTTGGAATGATGAATATCTATTCACCAGCTTGAGGGGGATTGTTGACAATTCATCAATTTAAGAAATTTCCATATGTTTACGAGATAATTTTGGGATATCATTTTACTGCTATTACTTGGCATCATTTCTTGATTTCTTGCTACCTAATTTCTAGTAATTTTCATATCTTAAGCATTAAAATAAGATAGTTGTAGAATTATTTGGATTTTAGTTTGAATGCATATTTGTTTGCGTGTTAGAGGGCCGAAATTAAGGAAATCTAGAGTTAAACAGATCAGTATTTTGTTCCATATTTTTTAGGGGATTCTGTTAGCTTGTTACCATATCCGTATATATTTATTTCCTGTTTATTTCTTTCTGTTTTAGATAGATTTGACCCTATTCTAGGTAAGTTGCATATATCCCTAGAAATTAAGTGTTTCAGCATCTATATATATAGGGAACGTGTAACCTGTTTTAATATATTAAAAATAATAAAGAATTCCTCTACTTTCAACATGGTATCAGAGCATTCTCTGAACCCTAAATCCATCATATGACCAAATACGGGAGAAGTGACTCAACTGCTTCCGTGTCCCAAATCACCTCCAACCAGGTAGCCATGGCTTCCAGTAACAGTAACGGAGATAGCAATCTCATGCTCATTACAGGACACAAACTGAATGGGAACAACTATCTCCAATGGTCCCACTCTGTTATGATGTTCATATGCGGAAGAGGAAATGATGATTATCTCAAAGGCGTGGCTACCAAGCCAAGCCAGGATGATGAGAAGTTCAAAATCTGGAATTCCGAGAATAATATGGTCATGCCATGGCTCATCAATTCCATGACAAATGAAATTGGAGAGAACTTCCTACTCTACAGAACAGCAAGGGAAATCTGGGAGGCTGCAAAGGAGACGTATTCCAACAATGAGAATACATCGAGTTGTTTGAAGTGGAGAGTGTTCTCCATGACTTCCGTCAATTTAACAGTAACCCAGTACTTCAATACACTCAACCGTTTGGCAACAGCTGGACTTGTTCGAGGAGCACAATTGGAGCTGTCTAGATGATGGAATCAAGTATAGACAAATCATTGAACGGAAGAGAATATATAAGTTTCTGAATTGATTAAATAAAAATCTAGATGAAGTAAGAGGGAGAATATTGGGATCTAAACCTCTACTTAATATCCGGGAGGCTTTTTCTGAAGTCCGGAGAGAGGAGAGTCGAAAGAAAATCATGATGGGCTCTCAAGAACCAATGACAAGTCTTGAGAGCTCAGCCCTTGCTGTTAGAGGGAACTCCTACAACACCAATGACACCAAACCAAAGAAATGACGCCCTTGGTGTGATCACTGCCGTCGACCTGGTCACACCAGGGACACTTGCTGGAAAATTCATGGTAAGCCTGCAGATTGGAAGTCTTCCCGGTCTGCCAATGACAAAGAGGGGCGAGGTAATTTTGTCTCAATGGATGACAAACCTTCACCTGAACCTACTTCATTCAGCAAGGAACAATTAGGTTCTACAGAAGCTGTTCAACCAGTCTTTGCATGCCCAAACCTCCACTGTGGTTGGTACTGGATCCTTAGCCCAAAAAGGTAATTTTTTAAGCGCTCTCAATGTTAAAAAAGAGACGTCAAATCCATGGATTATAGATTCTGGAGCTTCAGACCATATGACTGGAAATGAGGACATATTTTCTACTTACAATCCATGTGATAAACACTTAACGGTCAGAATAGCCGATGGTTCACTCTCAAAAGTGGTTGGTACAGGTTCTTTTAAAGTATCAGAGAATATTACACTTGAATCAGTTCTTCTTATGCCAAATTTGAATTGCAATTTACTGTCCATTAGTAAACTTACTCGAGACCTGAATTGTGTGACTAAATTTGGTTCAACCATGTGTGAATTTCAGGTCTTGGACTCGGGGAAGACGATTGGCAGTGCTAAAATGTGCTCGGGACTCTATCTTCTCGAGGTTACAAAATCTTCCTCAAGGCACAACTTATCAGTCCGATTGTCTAGTGTCTGGTAATCCTACTTCTTTTTCTGTCAGTTGTTCTAATAATGATAGTGCAATCATGTTATGGCACTATAGATTAGGATATCCGAATTTCTTGTATCTTGAGAAACTGTTTCCTTCTCAATTTCATAATAAAAATCCAAATGAGTTCAAGTGTGAAATTTTTCAATTCTCCAAACATGTCCGTAATTCTTATTCCAACCAATCTTACAAAGAATCCCATCCTTTTTTAATGATTCACAGTGTTTGGGGTCCATCTAAAATAAAATGTGACTGGTTCCCGTTGGTTCATTACATTTATTGATGATCACACTCGGCTTACATGGGTCTTTCATGAAAGAAAAATCAGAGGCAGGTCAGATTTTCAAAAACTTCAACACCATGATACAAACTCAATTCCAAGCCAAAATCCAAATTCTGAAAACTGATGCCAAAGAATACTTCAAATTCACTCAATGATTATCTCTTGAGTCATGGCATCATTCATCAAAGCTCATGTGTCAATACCCCTCAGCAAATGGAATTGCTAAAAGGAAAAATCGGCACCTTCTAGATGTTGCAAGATCTCTTATGTTTTCTACTCATGTACCGAAACATTTCTGGGGTGAAGCTATTCTCACTACGGCATACCTCATAAACCGGATGCCATCTAGGATTCTCAACTTTCAAAGTCCTTGTCAAACCTTACTTCAGTTTTTCCCAAATACACGTCTCATCTCCACTATTCCCTTCAAGGTTTTCGGGTGTTCAGCCTTTGTTCATGTCTATCAAAATAAAAGGGATAAACTTGATCCTAGAGAACTTAAGTGTATCTTCCTTGGGTACTCTCCAACTCAAAAGGGGTATAAGTGCTACTCACCGGTCACTAAACAGTACTACCACTCCATGGATGTTACCTTTTTTTAGCACCAGCCCTACTACCCCAAATCTAATATTCAGGGGGAGACCAATTTTACCCAGGAATATCAAATTTGGGATATTGATGAATCAGTTCAGCTCTCCCCAAATCCTGACCAATCTCACCCATCACCAAATTCTAAACAACATCTCTCCCTAGAATCTTCCTACCAAAATCTGGACACTAGTAAATCAACAACTAATAATGAGTTGATTACCTATTCACGGAGGAAGAAGAACCAAAAGGAGATGGAACCACCAACACCTCTGCAGCAAAACCAAGAATCTGATCCTAGTCCAAGATCTTATGAAGATCCAACACCTCTGTAGCAAAACCAAGAATCTGATCCTAGTCCATGATCTTGTGAAGATCCTTCAGGTAATCCTAATCCTGAGCCCTCACAGAATGAACTAACTGGTGATGACAGTGACTATCCTATTGCCGTGAGGAAAGGGGTTAGAACTTGCACAAAACATCATATATACACCCTTATATCATATGAAAGTCTGTCACCAAAATTCAAGTCGTTTGTTGCCAACCTCGACAACACTCAGGTCCCAAATAACATACAAGAAGCTCTTGGATCCCGAGTGGAAAGCTGTTGTGCATGAAGAAATAAATGCACTGGAAAAGAATGGCACCTGGGAAATATCAGAATTACCATCGGGAAAAAGTCCAGTAGGATACAAATGGATATTCTCAATCAAGTACAATGAAGATGGAAGTGTTAATCGTTTCAAGGAACGGCTACTGGCAAAGGGATTCACTCAATCGTATGGAATCGACTATGAGGAAACATTTGCCCCAGTAGCCAAGTTAAACACAGTTCGGGTTCTCCTATCTCTAGCTGCAAATCTTGATTGGCCCCTTCACCAACTAGATGTCAAGAATGCCTTTCTAAATGGGGACTTTTGAGGAAGTTTACATGGAAATCCCTCCAGGATTTGAGACATCGAAACTGACAACAAAGTTTGCAAACTTAAAAGATCATTATACGGGCTCAAGCAATCACCAAGAGCTTGGTTTTGAGATTTACCAAGGTAATAAAGAATCATGGCTATTCTCAATGTCAATCAGATCACACCTTGTTTGTCAAACACTCGTTTGCAAGAAAACTGGCTATCCTCATTGTATATATGGATGACATTATCCTAATAGGAGATTAGGAGAAATCAATACTACCAAAGGTCTTCTAGCTAAGGAATTTGAAATCAAGGACCTTGGACAGCTCAAATACTTCCTAGGTATGGAAATTGCAAGGTCAAGAAAAGGAATCTGTGTTTTCCAAAGAAAATATGTACTGGATCTATCAAAAGAAACTGGGATGCTTGGATGTAAGCCAGCGGACACACCTATGGATTCAACAACAAAATTAGGCACTAAACCGGTGGATAAAGGCAGATACCAAAGGCTAGTGGGTAAACTAATCTACCTTTCTCACACACGACCAGACATTGGTTTTTCTGTCGGCATAGTAAGTCAGTTTATGAACAATCCAAATAAAGAACATATGAAGGCGGTGTATAGAATCCTAAGGTATCTGAAGCTAACACCAGGGAAAGGATTATTTTTTGAGAAGAATCAAAGAAGAGACATAGAGGTGTCAGTGATGCAGATTGGGCAGGATCATTCAAGACCGAAGATCAACTTCAGGGTATTGTACTTATGTGTGGGGAAATCTAGTCACATGGAGAAGTAAGAAGCAATCAGTGGTGTCAAGGAGCAGTGCAGAAACTGAATTTCGGGCAATAGCCCATGGTATTTGTGAGGGAATATGGCTAAGAAGGGTACTAGAGGAATTAAGAATTTCTAGTGAAGAACCTATGAAGATGTTCTGTGATAACCAATCAGCAATCAGCATTGCCAAGAATTCAGTCCATCATGACAGAACTAAGCATGTGGAGATTGATCGGCACTTTATAAAGGAGAAGATAGAGGAAGTGATGATCAAAATGCTATATGTACCCACATGTCTTCAAACAACCGACATTCTTACTAAGGCTCTACCAAGAAAGACTTTGATGATCTAAGTTCCAAGCTGGGGTTAATTAACATTACCATCTAGCTTGAGGGGGAGTGTAGAATTATTTGGAGTTTAGTGTGTGCATATTGTTTGCGTGTTAGAGGGCCGAAATTAAGGAAATCTAGAGTTAAACATCAGTATTTTGTTCCATATTTTGGGGGATTCTGGTAGCTTGTTACCATATCCGTATATTTTATTTCCTGTTTATTTCTTTATGTTTTAGATAGATTTGACGCTATTCTAGGTAAGTTGCATATATCCCTAGAAATTAGGTGTTTCAGCATCTATATATAGGGAACGTGTAACCTGTTTTAATATATTGAAAATAATAAAGAATTCCTCTACTTTCAACAATAGTTTATTGTGTATAAATAGCCTAGAATTCCTTCTGAAAAGTAACATAAAATTTATTCTTGTTCCTTTTTATAAAGATTCTTTTTTCAGATATTTAAACAATTGATCTATATTTAATCTCCCAAATTGAAAGTATAACCACTCATGCATCAAAAGTACAATTGTTGATGGTTTACTATAAACGGAAGTATGAAACAACCAAATCTGCGCAAGGGATATAGAAATGGAACACTTGAAAGATTTCACATAAAAATTGATTGCTCACCTTTTCGCGATATACTGATGCCAGATCTTCGGGGACATAGAGCTTTCCCTCATCACCCATCACTGGATCACAAACTAGAGAAGAAATGACAAGCTTAGGAAAACTGCTTCCCTTTTGTTTTTCCTTTTTGGTGGTGAGGGATGTACGGGGTATGGGGGTGGAGCAGTGTATATCAAGCATTATTGAAGATCAGAAAATTCCAAGTGAAAAAACAAATCATTTAGCATCACATACAGTAAACTGAAGAAAAGGTGAGGTAACTTTTTTAGAACTATCAATGGAAACTATTCATTTTATTGTTTCTGCAGTACTAGCAATTTCTTGAACCTACATATCTGTCTCAAATTATGGTTTCATATTAAGTAAGCAAAAGATAAAGAATGGAATGTCAAATAGTTATATAGATGATAAGGATTTGAAATCATCTTCTATAATCACGATTTAAATTTATTTCAAGGACCAAATACAACTAAGCTTAAAATAAGGTCTTCTGGAGATTAGAGTAGACTTGCCATAAATAAGACTTGGATTAATAGAGCGTAGCTTGTCTACAACTTCCAATACAGAGTTTAAAAAAGAAACAGAGCCAATATAACCTGCAAATACACCATTAGAATTTGAAGCAATAGATATTGAAACAGAGAACCTTGTTGGTAAGCAAATGTGATGAATTTGAGAAACAACAGCAACAAAGAGAAAATCCAATCGATGATTACAGAAACAGAGAAATAAAATGTGAATAGAAACAAATGGTGTTGCACAGCTATTTCAAATGCCAGCAATAGAGAACATCATTCATATGTCTAGTGAAGGGATCAAGGTCAAGGGAACTAAATGAGGTTATACCTGGAACTCTTGCATTATAACCTTTGGGTCGAAGGAAGAGTTCGAGGAGGCGTGGAAAAACAGAAGGGATGAAGTGTCACTTTGGTTCGACTGGCTTGATCCACTTATGAGTGTAGATGGAGTCCCGATGGCTTTCTGTTCAGTGGAGTTGTATGGAATCCCTTTACTATGTTGTAATGTATCTTTTTTGGAAAAGCTGGTCTCAAGGTGGGGGAAATTGGTGTGTATTCATGAGTCCACGATCAGAAGAGAGGATTTGGCGGTGGCAAGAGCTTTGTTGAGGGTGGCGAGTCCTTATGATATACAGGATTCTGTTACCTTGGGTGCATATGGGAGATCGTATAAAGTTAAGATTAGTGGGGATCGGTCAGTTCTAAACAGGAAAGTTTTTGCAGAAATTCTTCAGGTGGCCGGAGATGGTGTCTAGAGTTGATTCTTCATCGGAAGAGAAAGAAGTCCAGAGTTCAGGTGGAGTAGGTAGCCCACAATTTCCAGCTGAGAATTCTAGAGACACAGTAGACAGATGGTTGGTAGGTGATGTCTGCACAACAGTGGCAGGCGGCAGTGGAAGTAAACATTATGCGCAGGAAGGAGAAAGTCAACCTAGTGGTGCTAAGGTGTCAGGTTTTTCTGCAGAAGATTTGAATTTTAAAGAGGACTATAGGGGCCTTGGTCTAAGGAATGTCTCTATTAATGAACCTGAAGAAGCCCATTTAGAGGGCTCGAGTGAGTCTAATACAAATATCTACAGAATATTACCTTCTGGGCCAGCTGTTAATTTATTAAAACTGGGATATGGTAACCGTTTGGAGTCTCGGGTGGAATTGGCAGGTTCTCAGCAGCAATCTGATTCGGATAAACTAAAGGTGCAGAATTGGGCTAATGTCTCGGCAGACTTAAATCCAAATTTGTTGTCTGCTGGGTCTTCACAATCTAACAGGGAGTATGATTCACCAGCTAATAATCTAATTCCAGGGGGCCATGATGTTAAGTTAAGTAGGGTAGAGGTTCAAGGAGAGTTTCAGCATACTGTTTTGGTAGACTCAAAACTGCAGAATTCGAATACTGATTTGTCAGGTTACAAACATATTTCGATTGAGGGTGGGTTCACGGATAGAGTACAGTCTCAATCTGAAGGGATCTAAAATAAGCCAAATAAGGATCTGTTAGAGGAAGTAGTAGTCTTGGAAAAGGATGAATGTAGGGGGGTTGGAACTGAACTGATTAGGGATAGAGACAGATCGTTGTTTCAGCATAGAAGAACACTTTGTCCCAAAAGTTTGCCCTTAGAGAGGAGAGAATGGCCAGCTATAAAAGACATTATACTAGGTCGAGGGTGAGAATTAACTGGTTTAAGAATAAACAAAGGTATTCCGGTGAGAAAGGATTTGCAGCCTTTTAATAAATATGGAAGGTGGAAGGGAAGTTTTTAAATGGTGCAGCTGATCAGAACCCTTATGGCACCAACTAATTGTAATAGTTCTTCGAGGTCTTGGCAGTAGTTCATTTCTCTGCTGTAGGGTCAGGAAGGTCTAAAAGAAGGGAGAGAGTTTTAACAAGGGAAGCAGTTGATATGGTTAATTCTCCTTTTGTTTTTACTCCTCAGTTCTCGAAGGCGGTTGAGAAGCGATGGTTACATGGGAAGTATGTAAAGTTCTAGAATTTCTTTCAAAGATGGGAAGAGGCTTTTTTGGACAAATTATCAACCTTGAAGAGGGTTCGGCTGAGAGTAGGGAACAGGGGAAGTCAGGGTTTAGTCTCTATTTCTCTGTTGACTAGCTATAAGGATTTGGTGTAGATCTTCTTGTTATGATAAATGTCAACATTATTTCTTGGAATGTAAGGGGTCTTGGAAAAAAGGAAAAGTCAAGAGTTGTAGCTAATTTGGTGAAGAAGAATAAGGCGAACTTGATTCTAATTCAAGAAACAAAACTAGAAACTGTTTCTTTGGCTCTTAAAAGAAGGATAGGGGGAGATTCCTTAGAGGAGGGATTGTTGCGCCAGCAGTGGGATCTGCTGGTGGATTGATGATTATGGAATAAAATGATTTTGAAGTCTCGAACAGCATCTTAATGGCAGATTCATAGCAGTCTTGGGAAGTTCAGAAATTCAAGTGAAGAGTGTCTGATTATCAATGTATACGGTCCATCAATTGAAGCAGAAAAGGAAGATTTTTTCAGGGAATTGTTGGAGTTTGTTTCGGCTCAAAATATGTTAGTGTGTATTGGGGGAGATTTTAATGTGTATCTTGATCCGGACGAGAAGTTGGGAAAATCACAAAACTGGCATTCTATTGATTTATTTAGAAACTTCTTATAGCAATCACATTTAATTGATCTACCTTTGGTGGGAGGAAGGTATACTTGGTGCAATAATAGAGAAGACTCGACTTGGGAAAGACACAGGTTCTTAATCTCTGGGACGTTTTGTCATGTTTTCCAAATGTAGTGCAAATGCTCTTGCTTAAATCCCTATCTGATCATAATCCAGTCTCATTAGAGGACAAAGCTGTTAATTGGGGACCGAAACCATTCAGGTTTTTTAATTATTTACTAGAGGAGGAAGGATTTGAGGAATTGGTTAAATCTTCAATGGTTGCTATGAGGGGGAGAAATAATAGAAGGGGTATATTCAGTATCTTAAAAGGTACTAAAAATTCAATCAGAAATTGGTCCAGCAGTAAATTTATTGGGATTCCTGAGTCGATTTCTGATTTAGAGAGGAACATTAATGAATTGGATCTTAAAGCTCAAGGTGGAATTCTTTCGAAGCAGGAGTGGGATCAGTTGAGGCTGTGAAGGACAACTATGGAGGTTGTATAGGACAGAAGAAGCATCTGGTTTCAGAAGTCAAGGGCGAGATGGATCAAGGAGGGGGATAGGAACACAAGGTTTTTTCATCTGTCTGCTCTGAACAGAAGCAAAAGAAATGAATTAAGCTTGAAGATAAATGGGAGTGTGGTTTCAGATCCTCAACAATTAAAGGTACATATTTCAGAATTTTTTCAAGGCAGCCTATAATTCCAATTCAACATTGGAAACGGAGGATTTACTACTGGATTTTGCTAAGCTATCAGGGGATCAGTCTAAGAAGCTTGAAGAGCACTTCTTAGAACAGGAAATTTGGCAAGCTATAGTTTCATCAGACATCTCTAAAGCTCCAGGACCAGATGGTTTCACCATGGGTTTCTTTAAAAACTGCTGGCCGATTTTAAAGGAGCACGTGGTGAAATTTTGAAGATTTCTATTTTGGAAGGAAATGGGAGCACGGTATAAACCATGCTTTTATCACACTTATTCCGAAGAAGCTTAATCCGGACAGTGTAGAGGAATTTAGACCAATCAGCCTTGTAGGCAGCTTATAAGATCCTTTCTAAAGTTCTATTGAAGAGACTGAGTTGTTGTGTTGGTGATATTATAGTCACTCTCAGTTTGCTTTTATACCAGGGAGACAGTTGCTGATTATGCTTTTATAGCAAACGAAGGATTGATTACTGGAGGAAAAAAGGGTTAAAAGGGGTTGTCTTCAAAGTAGATTTTCGTAGGGCTTATGATTCCGTGGAATGGCCAATTTTAATCAGACTAATGTAGAGATGGGTTTTGGTAAGAGATGGTTGTCGTGGATATCTCAGTGTATTCAACAGCTTCAATCTCGGTTCTCGTAAACGGGTCTCCATCGGAAGAGTTCCCCATGGCCAAAGGACTTAGGAAAGGGTGCAGTTTATCTCCGCTACTGTTTAACATTGTAGGTGAGCTGCTTAATTTGATGATATCTAAGGCAGTGGACAAGGGTCTGTTTCAAGGCTTTGTTATTGGGGAATCTGAAAATTCTGTTCGATTGTCACATCTACAATTTGTAGATGACTTGATCATTTTCTGTCAAGCATCTCTCTCCCAGATTAAATGTCAAGAGTATTGAGGATTTTTAGTGTTATGACAGGGTTGCATCTTAATCTAGCTAAGAGTAAGCTATTTGGTATTAATGTGGAAGAGGAAGTTTATCAAAATGGGCATCTTCGGTGGGTTGTTCTATTGATTCCCTTCCAACAGATTACTTGGGACTTCCTCTAGGTGCTAAGAAAAACTCAGAAGCCTTATGGGATCCAGTTTTCAAGAATTTTAGTTCCAAACTAGCCGGCTGGAAAGCTAATTGTCTCTCATTGGCGGGCAGGACAGTTTTATTAAAGTCGGTGTTAACATCCCTACCAATATTCTTCTTATCTCTTTTTAGAATGCCTTGTAAAATTGGTAAGAAGCTTAATTCTTTAATGGCCAGTTTTCTATGGGGGGATAATGAGGACAAAAGGAAGATACACTGGTTAATTGGAAATCAGTCTGCACGCCTCTAAATTCTGGTGGCCTTGGTGTTCTTGATGTGAACCTATCTAATCGGACTCTTTTGGGAAAATGGGTGTGGAAGTTCGCCAATGAAAAAAATACTTTGTGGAAAAGTGTGTTATGTTGCAGGCACAAGGTAAGTAGTAATTCCATGTCTATTTGCAAGGTTTTTTCGCCCAAATCTTCTTGGATTTGGAGAGGGATTGCCAACAATTTCCTGAAGAACGACTTGGAGGGTGAATGTATCAGATCTAACTCCAAGTTGAAACTGGGAAATGGAAAGTCTATTGCTTTTTGGACGGACTCATGGGCTGATGAGTCTTCTTTAAAAAATCTTTTCCCTAGAATGTATGCGTTGTCAACAAATAAATGGGGTATGGTCGCTGAGTTTGGAAGTTCAGATTCGAACGGTTGGGTGTGGAACATCGATACCAGAAGGAATTTGTGTGACTGGGAGTTGGATCAGTGGCTGGATTTAATGACAAAACTGAAGGATTTTAAACTGACTGATTCAGTTGAAGACTTCCTTTCTTGGTCTGCAAGCGGGGATGGACTGTTTTCAGTGAAATCTTGTAGAAAGGAACTCGGCAAGGTGCCTGGGGGGTCCGATTTATGGGTAAAAGGGGTGTGGCAGGGTTTATCTCCCCCTCGTGTTGAAGTCTTCCTGTGGCAGCTAGCTCATCAGAAAGTGGTAGTGAGAGAGGCGTTGGTGAAAAGAGGTTTGCAGCTAGGGGATGAAATTCTATGTCCGTTTTGTAAAAAACATGTGGAATCAGTTCAGCATTTATTTATTTCGTGTGATGTTGTTTGGGAACTTTGGAACAAGATAGCAAGCTATTGGGATATAACCTTAGTCCTTCCAAAGGATCCACCTTCTTTGCTATGTTCTTGGGGTGAGCTGAGGGGGAAATCGTTGATTTGGAAATTTATCCCGGGAGTAGTATTTTGGTCGATTTGGAAAGCTAGGAATGCAATGGTGTTCGAAGGTTCCCCCTTGGATAGGATGTCTCTGTTTTTTATTGCTAGATTCAGGTTATCTAAATGGTTTCTAGCCAAGTATCCTAAGTGTCCTATTCAGGAGGATGTGCTGATTGGTGATCCATCTCTTGCAGATGGTATTAAAGCTCTCAACATTTACAATTTTCAGGTTTCTCACTGGATTCCACCACCTATGGATTTTTTGAAGATGAATGTCGATGGAGCTGTTAGACTTGATGGCTCAAATGGAGGTATAGGAGGTATTTTGAGAGACTAGAATAGCAACTCCCTTCTGACTTTTTCAGAAAATGTAGGTCAGGGTCCCCCGCCGGTTGCTGAGTTAAAGGCTATTAAGAGAGGCATTGAAATCTATATGTCTTCTTGTTGGGTTAAGGTTGGAAGGTTGATTGTGGAGAGTGACTGTAAGTCGGCTGTGGAATGGGTCCATACCCCAGCTTTGGCCCCTGTTTTTATCCTCCCATTAGTTAAAGAGATTTCATCTTTTATCTCGGACAGGGTGCATTCAATTAGACTGATTCCAAGGGTGTGTAATGGGGAGGCTGATAGTTTAGCAAAGATGGGAATTGGTTGATGTTTAGTCGTTTCCAGTGCGTTGTATCGTTTGAGTTTAGGTTTTTGGTTCTGTTGAGTAGCTTAGTCTGTTGTGTTTTTTTAGTATGGTGTTTATGTTAAATCTTATGTAATTTCGCAGGAGTAATAAAGTTTCTAAGGCACTCTTTTCCTCCTTCTTTGATCAAGAAGGAGGTTTTTAAGGAAGCCTGTCATTCCTATAAAAAAAATATAGACTGCCTTGAATATCCAACCTGATGTCTCAAAGAAATGATGAATTATCAATTCATTTAAATTAGTTAACCAATCAAAGCACCATTATATAAAATTGATGTTTCATTTTAATTAGTTGTTAAAGTTTTAATTAATTATGATTTTGCCTTTTTACCATTTCCATTTACTTGATAACAAATTTTGAGAAAGGAAAAAAATAAAGTTTTAAAAATGACAAACAAAGGAGCCTAAACAATTAAGAGATTATGGAAATTTGACCAAAATAACATGATTTTTAAACAATTCAGGCATTCTTTGTTAAGAAACTATTATTTTAAAAGCTACCCTCTTCCCAGAAAAAATGACATGACGTTTACACCATTTAGACATTCATTAAGAAACTTTTACTTTACATTCTTATTCCTTTCTACCCTGTCCCCTCCCTTGTATCAAGTTAAATGCAAAATGAAAAAAACTACATTTGAGATTAAAAAAATAACAGAAATCCAGCATAAAAACATCCAAGTGGATTCCTTTCTGTGACACGAATTGCTAAATATACAACAGAAAATGTGTTCCTTTCTCTATATTAAGTAAATAATTCCAGAGAAACACCCAGTTAACACTGAAGAGAATTTCTCTTCTTTGTAAACAATGTTATATGTTCCTTTTCATTTAAAGATCGTACAATAATCCTTTTCCTTTTTTTTAGGTGAAGAAATTATTATAACAACCTCGAGAATTTTATAGAATGAAACAGCTCGCATTATCAAAAGGCAACTGGAAATAAAATACCTGTTAATAAATGAGTGTAGTATAATAAATTATTTTCTTCAAGGCCTTCTATTAAATCCAACAATTCTCGTCCATTTAGAACTTGACCCTTAATGTCGGGTACCCTGCACAATTTACAGCTGACACCACATCGAATACAAGGCCTCAGATTTTCAATACCTTTTAGCAGTAGTATAAACAGCTTGCCTGTATGATTTGAGAACTGTACTGAATTGATTGGATCCACATCATAGCCTAATAGTTGAAGAGGAAAAACTGCTGACTTGTTACCAACATATCCCTAAGAAGAAGAAAAAGATGGAAATAAGTTACAAAAGAATAGAACTATTAGAAATGTTTTCCCACAAAGAAATCAGGTGAAGGTAAAATCAATCATACAAATACTTCAGGTGTATATGTCCAAGGTTCCCTTAATTGCTTGCATGGAGAAAAATAAGAATTATTCCAAATAATTTCAAAGAAAAAAAGAATAATTCAGTGCACAGTAATTACCAATATATTATAAGCATGCAACAAAATTTCTACCCAGTTCTTGATGACATGAAATAATTATCAGGTAGATATTAAGTACTACAACAAGACAGAAGATAGTTATCAAAGCTAGATTGTCTTTTGCTTATAGTACAAATCTAACAATAATCTAATTCTATTAATGCAAAGATATGGACAAAATTAAGAGTATCATACTGCCTTAAACTTTTCAACAACCAAACAAAGATAAAAAGTTGGAAGTGTAGAACACAAAGGAGAAAAATACCTGAACTGTGTGAGATTGAATGCTGAGAACTCTACCGTATTTAATGGAAGAGCCAAGGATAAAATTGGAGGTGACGCCATTATGACTTCCTAACTTTACCGGTCTTTGACAACTTCGATAATATCTGAAACCAATTCAACACCATACAATCAATAAAATAACAAACAGGAAATAAATTTAATAAAATCATTATTTCCGAAGACTCGTTATTTTTCTTAGGGGAATCTTTAAGTTTGTGGGGAAATATTTTCTCTGGGAATATGCAGTGGAGAATGATCTCTCTGCTGGATCCTTAAGGAACAGTTATAAAAGGTATAGAATGGAGGTGATTCACACACTGTACCACACCGCCAAGGTACCTAAATGGGTGCCTAGAGCATTTGGACAACATTGTCAACTACAGTTGGGAAAAAAGACAAGGAAGACATTGGATCCAACCCGACCCACCCTATATAGAGGTGCTATCTTTTTCAAAACCAGGTCGAAGACGAGGTGAATTGTATTTTTTATTAAAAGCTTCCGACCCAACATGCATTTTTTTTAAGCCGGAGGTCTTACATTAAGATGCTCTCAACCTGGCATTGGGGGCAGCCTACTATCCTACCTCCCTTTATCCATTGCATATGAGAATAGGGTTTGTTGTTGTTATGTTATATAGTCCAATTAAATTGTTAATTTTATATATAAAATCTATATTTTTAATGACACTTTCTTAATTTTATGTGACTTTACAACCTACATTTGGTTTGAAAATTTACAATAATATAAAACATTATGTACATTTAGCGGCGGGATAGGATTGAGATAAACTTTTTTTTGGGAGGCAATGTTAAAAGGGGTGCAAGGCTGGCGATAAGAGTTTTATAGCTAAAGTGTAAGGCGCGCGCCTTATTGAAGTGAGTGCACTTTTTGAAAATAAAAGGACAAATTCACCGAAATTATTGTAGATGCTCGTTTTGTCCGGGGCTAAGTCAGAGCAGACCCGAAGCAGAGCAGTTGGAGGCCCAATCCAATGATCAAGCCAGTCCACGTGAAATCCTAAACAATTAAAATGGCGGTTATTGGGAGTTAACCAAAGCAAAGTGGAGGAAAGGGGTCAGTTTTAAGGGATTAACTACTGGAAATTGTGGGGGGGAATCATAAAAAAGAAAAGATAGACAATAAACAGGGAGATTAGAGAGACAAAGAAAAAAACCATAGAAGAATTAACCGAGAGGACAGGGAGAGTTGGAGAGCACAGAGCAAAAACGAAGAGGAACCAGAGACCATTCTAAAAACAACAACAGAAAGCATATAGGGAGAAGAGATCAAGCAGTGTAACATATTCATTTTTCAGGAAAGCAATATTAATCAAGGAGCAATTTTCTTGGTATTTCCTATCTTTAATTTAATTGTTAGTAATTTCCATGAATGTTTTATTTCTAAGCAAGTGAAAATACAGAGAAGATAATAGTTACGTTACCTTGCTTAGTTTTGTTTTTTTACTTGCATCGTAGTTCCATGGCGTTTAGTCGAACGTCGGTTGGCAGTGGTTTCCTTTGAGCATAACCGCCATTCGAAAGTTTAGAGGATGTTCTTTTATATAAAAAACAGTCGGTAGGTGAGATATTTTACCTCATCGTTGATTCCTTATCGTGGGTCGCCGGCGAAGTGGAGTCAAGTGTCTAGAGGTGAGCGATGATGGTTGGTTTTGAGAGTATGGACTGTTTTGTGGTCTTCTAGAGGTCGATTTAGCGAGCTTTTAGTCTCGGTTTGTGGTCTAGAGAAATAACTAAAGAGTCAGATTGGGGGTTGGGGCCTTAGCCGGGGGTCGTTGGTGTGTATAAAGCATGACCGAGAGATGGAGGGTTCAAGGGTTGAGCGGCACTGTGTGAGGCTGAGGGAGAGATGGAAAGTGGAAAGAAAGGGGAGGAAGTTGTTGGGCATGTTCCACGTGATTTGGGTTTTTAGTTTAGGTTTAGTTTATTTAGGTTTTTTTTGATAAATTAACTTTTGGCCACTCAGACTTTAGGGGTAAATTATATCTAGACCTTTTAATTTAGACGCATTTTACATAGCAGTCCATTATTTATTTTAATTTTCCTGATTTCTTTTGAATGTGCATGCATTATTATGTTATTTTGCATTTTATTAGGATTTTAGTTTATGCTTATACTTATATTTAGATCCTTGGTTTATTTTTGATTTTATGTTAAATTTTACATTTATTTAAATTTAATCCTAATTTAATATGTATATCTTTGTGAAAATCTATATTTAGTATGTTATGTTTTTGTTTTTATATTTGAGTCACACTTGTACATTATATGTTAATATGCATGATTTATAATTTTTAATTTTAAAATGTATGTATATAATTTTTTATGTTACGTTATGACATTTTAATTTTCGTTTAATTAATTTCGCATGACATCCATTTTTTTTGTACAATTTGTATAATAGTCTCACGTGCATAACTCGACCTATTACATAATCGGACTAAGGGTAATACCCTTTTAATTTAAAATTGTTTTAAGTGGGCAGTCATAACTGATTTGAGGTCCGCTTTTAATGATTTTAAAATAAAAGTGTATCCCATTAATGACGCCTAAAAATTGATTCATCATTCTAAAATTTGGAACGAAAGAAAAGGAAATGTTCGTTTATTTAAATTTATCGAGAAAAGGTTGTTATAACTTTTAAGATCTGGTCTCGATATTTGTAAATAATCGAACATTCTTTATCTTTCTAAAACGATTTGGTAATTTTAATTTAATTATTTTGAGTGTTTTTGAATGTTTTCAAATTTATCTTTGATTTATGGGATCAAAAATCAAATTGAATTCGAATTGTAAAGTTCAATGCAAGGACGTTAATTAATCGACTAGGTACCATTTAGGGCGTTGTGGGGGTGCTAATCCTTCCCCACACGTAACCGACTCCCGAACTCGGATTTTGGTAACGCATACCTTAATTTGTTGTTTTAATTAAAATTAATTTTTATTTAAAATAGCAAGCATTTTTGGGTGTCCAATCACACCCTAATCAAAGATTGATGGTGACTCTTCGAACTGTATTTTTCGATCGTAAAGGAAATTCAAAAATTTTCAAAACGAGAGTTTTTAAAATCGTATTTGTTTTTAAATTAAAAAGAAACAATTAAGAATTAATGTGGTTTTCAAAATCTCACATTTTTCACCTTTAAGAAAAAAAATCGTTTCGACAGCTTGGCGACTCCGCTGGGGACTTTTGTTTAGAGAGTCAGGCCGATAGTCGATTAATTAAATGTCTTTGCAAATGAAAGTTATAAATTTGTTTTAATTTGGTTTTTTATCCCTTGTTTGGTTTTTAATAAGTTTTGTTTGTATTTTGATTTAATTTGATTAACAATTAAATAGTTGTACTGATCTGTTTGCTAATGGTTTCAAATTATTTGTGAATTGAGAATTGATTTTTGAGTGCTTTTATTATGTGTTTTTTTGCTTTTCCTCACACACTGTACAGTTGCATTATCATAACATGAGCTAAAACCCCGCTCCGTCCTATTTAAGTAGGAGTGAGAGACTATGTCCTCGTGTGGTTTTCACCTCCGCATGGGATAGTGGATCGCTCCTGGAGCTCACGTCTTATGGTCCTCGTGATGGTATTCACCTCCGCATGGACATAAGGAGGTGTGTTCCCTCGAAATTGAACTCGATCCCCTAAAGCATGTGATGGGCCAGGATTGAGGGTTCAGCAGCCCAAGGGGGCACCGGCAAGGACAATTCGAGAACCTATTACTTTAGAACCGAACTCAGCATATAGTGAACATAGAGCCCAAATTTAGGTCGAGCCTAACCTAAACCTTAAGAGTCCCGTGAGGAGGGAACACAAGGAAAAGCTTTTTGAGTCATATAATTTCGTTTTTTGAATAAATGTATGCGAACTAGAAATCATGCGGTTAGGTTTATTTTTTTGAGCATGTATGCGAACTAGAAATCATGCGGCTAGGTTTATTTTTCTCGAACAAGCATGCGAATTAGATATCATGCGGTTAGGATTTTTTTTGTGAATGACAAGGCATGGGGATAGATATCATGTTGGGTAGGATTTGCTAAAGCATGATTGGGTAGCCAGCATGTGAGGGTAGGTTTTATTTAATGACTTTGATACTTATTATTTTGTTGTTTATATTATGTGTACTAACCCATTTTGTTATATGTCTATTTTATTTTGATTTTATTGCATTTGCATCTTCATGTCATCCAAAGGTGTTAATTCGCAGGTGATTGACTAATAAGAAGACTGGTCATAATGAGACAAGAAATTCTTAATCATGTAATCAAAATCGGGAGATCCAGAGGCGTTCAGATGATTCATGAAGAAGGGCATCCGATGAATGAAGAAATTTGAAACTGATTGAAGACTGATCCACAAAGAAAGACATCATGAAGATCTTCCCACAGGAGATAGATGCAGTAATGCCAAGGACGAAAAGACCCTTCATAAAGATGTGAAGAGCACTTTCCATTGAAAGTGGAGATGGAGATTCCAAGATTCAATTCAAGGACAATCGATTTCATCAAATATGATAAAATACGTCGACCATTTTGGAGATGCAATGCCAGATTCCATAAAGAGTATGATTCAAGGAAATGGAAGAATCATAATTGTATTTTGATTACATGTAATGAAATCTTGTTGTCTAAATGAAGGTTGTTCTATAGTGGTCACTTTTGGGATTACACCTTTTGCATTTGCATTTTTGCATCCATTTTGCATTCACATCGCTTTAATTTAAGCATTTTTACATGCATAAATCATTAAAATATGAGAGTAACTCGTGAAGGATGATGTGGCAGAAGCTCTGAAATTAAATTGAAGTTACCCTGAGACGTGTTTATGGAAAATAGACAACAATGAAATGAGATCTTAGCACGAGTTAGTAAGATCGAGAGAATTCAAGAACAGCTCGTAAGGACCCAACAAGAAATGATTGATGAAGCAAGGAAGTTCCAAGTTGAATCCAGGGGACAGATGTCCAAGTTGATGAGCATGATGATTACAGTGATATATGGGGATAAAATCATCAGATGACCTATTACACAAGAAAATATGAAGA